GATTTGAATGCTGCTTGTCATAATGACTAGCATACCGAATGGCCCATGAAAATATGATATGGTAAACGTGTGCTCAAAGCCGCATGCATCATGATTAATGTGCTGAGTGTTCCAAGGAATAAAGAACTGCATGCTGAATGCATCATTGCATAAGGAGTTTCATCAGAAAACGGCGAGATGCAAGCCTCACGGCATGATGACTTGGGCAAAGCATGATAGTTTAGGTCAATTGCTTGCTCATCACTTGATGGGAAGATGCCAAATGTCACCGCGTGATAAATTGTATGCTACGTGTTGTACAGGTATGATGATTTCTATGCCCTAAGTCTCATAGCCTAAAAACAAAATGCATGTTGGATGTATCTTAACTTATTATAGAATGACATATCGAATCCTACAGATCGTGGCCTGATCATTCAAATTGTGCATCAAAACAGTACTTTGCATGCTGAATAGCTCCATGACAATGACAATACTGCGTCACTCAGAATGCTTACTACTATGGAATGAATGGATCAGCATGCGTCTCAGAATGCACAGTTTGCAACTTTCTCTCTGAATGCATATCTGATAACAATAGTATGAAAATGCATCTCTGGATGCATGTATATCTCTGAAAACACACCGTTACAGAATGTACATGCATTTCTTTTTAGAACGCGTATCATAACTTCTCTGAATGCATTTGCCAGCTTACATCTCTCAAAATGCATCTCCCACAAAGCACCTCTCAAAATGATTCAGAATCACTCTCAGAATTCACATCTCACCTATTTTCTTTCGGAGCAAATATCTCTGAATGCACATATTACAATGCTGTCTCAAAACACAGAAGTTAGTTCATGACTTTCGTATCATGCGTGCATGTGCGCATGCACACACCACAACATACACACACATGCCGTCTCACATAAATGGCATCAAAGCTACCCAAACCGTACCATAACTCGCCACACCTGATTGCAACCGGTATGGAAGTTGGCAACTCGCTTGGAGCCTCAAGACCCCTGCTGGCTGCCACGAAGCACCTTCAAAAAGAATCTTGCAGTTTCATATTTGCACACATCACCGCCTGCTGCATTCACTAACACCCTCCTTCCTTCAGTTAGCCCCCCTTTGCAATCTCGCCCCATCCCATTCTAGGTTGCAAAAGGGGGATATATCTCCCCCTTTCATACCTCAGCACCCGGACATATGCGGGTTGTACTGCAGCTGCCATGGGTTGACTTGCATTGCAGGTCACTGGCCAGTAGCCATTCATCCAGCAGTTGACTAATTCAACCTGTAAAGAGTCCGCGACGAGGTGAAAATATGTGGCTTTGTCAGCTCAGAACTAAAATGAAACATAACTACCATAACGTTCAGTTGTCCTCCTGGCAGCATTCACAGCTGCTCCGACTTGTCTATTTGTCAGCATGTTGACAAATTGGGTGGTAATAAGCCCATACCTGCCAAAGCGCAGGCTGCAATAGTGTTGCTATTTTCACACTAAAATTGGTTTCACTACAAGCATGCTGCATACAACGGAAGTGCAAGACACGACGATATTTACAGTCCAAGCAACAAACAGGGGTGAACGACAAGAAGTATCAGGGAATACACTACAAGTCTCTAATGTGCTGTCCACGCATCTCCTTCATCTTCACAAGCACCATGTCGGAGTTACTCCCCTCTCCTTCCTCACTCATCTCTGGCCCTTGCCTCTTCCCGGTATTCTGGCCTCACCTTCGTCCTTCCCTGCTTCTGTCCTCACTTTGTGGTGTCCCCATTCCTGCTGCCCTGTCCCCTTCTTCGTACTCAGCCACTACCTGCCCCCTCCTGTGCTCGTGCTCGAGCTGCTCGGGCATGAGTCATAGGACTCCCAGCTGAGGACGGTGGCTCTTCACTCCTGCCGTGCGGGTCTGGTGGTCCAGGGTCCGTTCTCCCTTCTCCTTCTCCAGCACTAGCACCCCCACGCCTCGCACTGCTTGCGCCCTCCCCTTCACTCTTCCCTATTCCACATCTTGTGTACACTTCCTTGCCACTCTCTTCCCGTCCTGCCTCTATATCCGCCTTTATCCCCCTTTCGTCCTGCTGCTGCCACTGCTTACAGCAGCGCACATCCCTCAACTGCACAGTCTGTAGGTCCTCCACCGCCGCCGGTGTCACCTCTTTCGAACATTCTGCTGCCTTAGCTCGCTCCCATGCCGCCCGGGTCTCCGCCTCTACCATTGTATGGCCGACCTTCTCCCCCGCTGCTAGGGGCTCCCATGCTCCACCTTCCTTCCTCTCCCGTTCTGCTTCCTCCTGCTCCTGGGCCTTGCCCCTCATTGCTACTTCTATCAATTCTTCCCCCAGCAGCTCTGGCCTTCCTTCCCGCTGCTTCTTCACCTGCTGCTCGGCCATCTCATTTCCCTGCGCTTGCTCCTCTGCTCGCATCCAATCCTTCACCGTACCACCAGTCTTCTTCCCTGCCCAGATTTCCCCGAACAACTCCGCTGTTCTTGGCGACTGCTGCCAACCATTCCCTCCCCTGCCTGTACTGCTCAGGCCCGTCTTCCCTCCTTTCTTCACCGCTCCCTCTTTCTCGCCCTTCCCTTCTGTTTCTGCTGCTGCTGGTACGCACGCCCTTGCCCCCGCCTCTTCGTCCCTCTCCTCTACTTCTGCTGCTGCAATTACACCCACTCCTGCCCCCACCTGCTCGTCCTTCTCCTTTGCTTCCGTTGCGGGTACGCACGCCCAGGTCTCTTCTTCCTCATCCTGCCCTTCCCCTTCGGTTGTTGCCCATTCCCTCACCTTCTCATTCTTCCCTTCAGTGCCTGCTGCTACTAATTCACACACTCCCGCTTCCTCCCTTTTGTCCTTCTCTTCTCCTTCTGCCACTGCCCATGCCCTCACATTCTCGTCTTTCTCTTCCCCTTCCGCCACTGCCCATGCCCCCACCTTCTCGTCCTTCTCTTCCCCTTCTGTCACTGCCCATGTCCTCACCTCCTCGTCCTTCTCTTCCCCTTTTGCCACTGCCCATGTCCTCACGTTCTCATCCTTCTCGTCCCTTTCTGCCACTACCCATGTCGTCACCTTCTCATCGTTCTCTTCCCTTTCTGCCACTGCCCATGCCCTCACCTTCGTCGCTCGCTCCCTTCCTCCGTCCCTGCCCCCACTGCACAGCCCCATGCCTTCACTGCTCCGCAGCACCGCACAAGAATATTCTGGCTCTTGCTCCCTTTCCTCCTCCTCCTCTTCCTCCCTTGCATACAACCCCGCTTGCCGCTCTGTTCTTCCTCTCAGCGCCCGCCCTTTCCTTCCGTCTCTGCCCCCACTGCGCAGACTCAGTTCCTCACGGCTACATAATGCCAGGCATGTGTACTCTGGCTCCTGCCCCTCCTCCTCTTCTGCTCCTTCTCTCGCGTACAATCCAGCCTCCTTCTCCTTCCTCTCTCCTAGGGCCTGCAACTGCGCCTGCAACTTCCTTATCTGGCTCTCGATCTCCTCTGGTGACCCTTTTGTTCCGCCTGTCCCTTTATCGCATTCCCTTGCCCCATGCCCCCTTTCTCCACACCCCTTACATGTCGGTGCCTCCGGGCAGTCCCTTCGGCGGTGCCCTGGCTTTCCACATACATCACAGTTCCTGCAGTGGATCCTTATGTGCCCGGGCTGCCCACACCGGTAACAGGTGCGTGTCTCTGTCCTTTTTTCCTGCCTGCTCCCTTCTCCTGCTCCCTCCCCTGGTATCATCGCCGCTGCCCAGGTAGGACTCTTCTTCTCTACCGTCCTCGGCAGGTAAACCTCGTACTTCCTCTGCGCCAGCTCCACTCTCTCCGCTAACTCGAACACCTCCTCTGCTCATAGCTCATAAACTCTCATTCTCAACCCTCCTGCCAATCCCTTGTCTAAACCGTTCAGAAACTTACTAATGATCATGCTGCTGTCCGCGCACACCACGTCTTCCGCCAGGTTCATTAACCGTCCGTAGTATGTCAGCAGTGACTCCTCATCCCTCCGCCTAAACTCCTGAAATTCCCTAATGCGCGCCGCCGTATGCCCAGGGAACTGCTTCCTTAGTCGCTCCAGGAACAGTACCGTCGGGTCCTCGTCATCCTCTTCAGCCCTCCTCAGCCATTCACCAATCTTCATGCGATACAAAGTCTCTGCTTCCCCTCCCAACGTGCTCGGTAGGCTCAGGAAGAACTCGATCGGGTCCATCCCGCTTCTGTCGCATCGGTATTTAACATTGCCGATCTGCATCAAGTAATTTTTTAGACTTGGGCCGGTTTTCTCGTTTCCCGTGAAGCGTACTGGCACCTCCACTCGTGGGTGTGCTGTTGCGCTCCACTTCCCTGTTTCCCAACTCTCCATCCCTCCTCGCTCAGACGTCATAACCCCTCTCCTCCTTTCCTTTTCTCCCCTGCTGCCCATGCTGGTTCCGTACAGCACTCGCTCTATTCCTTCTCTAGCCGCTCTTGCTCCTATAGATCCTTCGCCGCGACGCCCAGGCCTCCTCGGGCCCATCGGGCTAGGGCTCCTTCCTCGCGCATCTTCATGCTCCCCCCAGCCCCTCTCTGCATCTTCCCGATGCTTCCCTCGCCTTGGAGGGGACCGTTCCTGGTACTGCCACACTCTGTCCCCTCGTTGTTGCTCCTTCTCTGCTGCCCTCGAGACTTCTGGTGACCGCTCACCTTCTCTCTTGCCTCGTCTGTCCTCCTCGCGCCTCCACTCCCTCTCTCTTTCCGGTGAGCCCCACCTGCCTCCTTCTTCATCACCACATTGCTCTCCCCTCCTTGGCAGTCCTAAGCCTGTCCAGTCGCCTCTCGCCATACGCCGCCTGTGCTCATACCCCTGCCTCGGCTCGGGCGAGTGGAACACTCCAGCAGGTGCGTCATGGCTCCTTTCTTTCCCTTGACATTCCTTGACCTGGCGCTCGACTCCCTCACCCCAGCCGTGCTTCATATCATTTCCTTTCCGTGCTCCAGGTATGCGCTCGTTCCATGCTTTCTCGTGATGACTCCGCCCGTCACCCTCTCTCATTCTTCCTTCACGCGCTCCGCCTCCCCGCACAGCTGGGGATCCGTCTCCGTCGGCGCCAGCGCGCCTTCCGCCTCCCCGCACAGCTGGGGATCCGTCTCCGTCGGCGCCAGCGCGCCTTCCGCCTCCCCGCGCAGCTGGGGATCCGTCTCCGTCGGCGCCAGCGCGCCTTCCGCCTCCCCGCGCAGCTGGGGATCCGTCTCCGTCTGCGCCAGCGCGCCTTCCGCCTCCCCGCGCAGCTGGGGATCCGTCTCCGTCGGCGCCAGCGCGCCTTCCGCCTCCCCGCGCAGCTGGGGATCCGTCTCCGTCGGCGCCAGCGCGCCTTCCGCCTCCCCGCGCAGCTGGGGATCCGTCTCCGTCGGCGCCAGCGCGCCTTCCGCCTCCCCGCGCAGCTGGGGATCCGTCTCCGTCGGCGCCAGCGCGCCTTCCGCCTCCCCGCGCAGCTGGGGATCCGTCTCCGTCGGCGCCAGCGCGCCTTCCGCCTCCCCGCTCAGCTGGGGATTCGACGAGCTCTTCTTCCTCGCCGTTAACGCTTGGCGCGTCCATCTCCACGTCGTCGTCGCGACACCTATCGTCCACTCCGCGCTGGCCTCCTGCCAAATCCCACGGATTGCTGGCTGCGGGCTGCCTCCTCGGCTCCGATCTGACGTACAGATCCGCTCCGCGTCCTCCAGCTCGCACGCCCACTGGCGTCACCAGATCTGCGCGATACACCGATCTTTGTGGCGAGCGCGTCGGCGACCTCCCACGCTCCTGCGAGCGCCTCCCTCGCGACGGAGAGCGTTCCTGCCGCAAATATGTTTGCTGCCAGCGCAGCTCATGGCGATCCATATCGCCGGCTCTCTTCTCTCGTCTTGTGAGAGATTCAGGCTCCCACACGCAGGCCGCCCACAGTGGCGCAGTCACCTAGCTTAAGTAGCTTAAAAACGGCAACACTTAACCACTATATGAGGCGAACAAGATGAGAGAACAGGTTTGCTATGCTAGGCTAGGCTATTTGTGCTTGGACGCCCAGTCGCGAGTAACTCAGTGGGCTGGGTCGAGCTCAAGCCGCCTAGGCCTTGGATTGGCCCTCGCCAGATTGCCTGTCTCCCGAGGTTACTGAAATTGTCTCCGAAGCGCCTTGTAATCCCCCAATGCTACCAACTTCTCGCTACTCTCTATAGCCCAACTACCCCACATGCAGATAGAATAATACTCGCTACACCACTCCTACACCCCATTAGCACATGTCTCCAATATGATGCTCTTACCATAATATTTGGTGACAACCAGCTTCACTGGTGGAAGCCCCGGCTTCAAAAACGCCTTCCCTATCAAGCATCAACCAGTGCTGAGACACTGCAAGCAACCTCTGAGGCACTGCAGTGCCGAGTCAAGTCCTCTAAGAGCATCTGCAGGCAGCCAGGCGAGTCAATCATCCTCAAGCCCCTCTACAATCAGCTCCACGAAACTCGCAGGGAGGGATGGGATAGAGGTGTCGCGCAATACCAGCTGGTGCAGCTGGGTGAGAAACTCCGGGAGGTGCTGCAAGGCCCTGCAGAGAATCAGCTCCAGTTTGCGCAGCCGAGACAAGCGGCTCATGCCCTGAGGTAGCGCCACCAGCTGAGGTGCGTGAAGCTTGAGTGACGTCAGCGAGCTGAGCCTCCAAATGCTTTCTGGCAGCTCCTCCGGTGACCAAGAAAGCAGCTCCAGCTGCCCCAGCTGCGGCAACGCCGTTCCCATGTTTCCTGGGAGGCTGCGGACTGCAGGTGCCTTTATCAGCAAGCTGCGCAGGCGAGGGAGAAATGTCAATGGGATTGGTAGCTTCGGATTGCTACCTTCTAAGTGCATTTCCAGCTGCTCCAGCTGCTCCAGCTGCGCCATGTGCTTCTGCTGCTCGAGTTTCTCCAGCCGCTTCAGCATCTCCAGCTGCTCACTCATCAAGTTGCGTAAGTGAGGGAGGAAAGTCAAAGGAAGTGGGAGCTCTCGACCTTCTCCTTCAGAATACAGGCCCAGTTGCTCCAGCTGCTCCTCACACGACAGCCTCCAGCTCACTACAGGCCCGCATTCCACGTTGACGCAGGTCAGCGTCAGCACCCTCAGCTGCGATGGCTTGGAGATGTCCACCACGTGGAAAGAGCCTTCCCTAAAAGGCCCCAAGCTGAGGCTCTCAAGAGAAGGGGGCAGGGCGGTAGTGGGTCCATTCAGCTGCCGACACTCTGTGAGCTCCAGCCTCTTCAGCCTCGAGGGTACTTTCGAGAGTAACTTGCAGCATCTGACCTCCAAGGTCTGAAGTCTTGTAAGGCGTGTGAGCGAGCTAGGAAGCTTGCTGGTTGGAATTTTGATGATCTTCAACTCCTGTATGCCGATCAACTCTCCCAAGGCGTCAGGAAGCTGGACTCCATCACATGCAGTCAGCTCAAGGCTCGTGAGGGAAGACAACTGGGTGAAGGAAGTCGGGAGGGGAATGCGCTGGCAGTCATGCAACCTGAGAGCTTTCAGACTAGCCAGGACCCCAACGTCCTCTGGCAAGGCAAGATGCTGCGAGTCTGAAAAATAGAGCGCCTTGAGGGCCATGAGAGAGAAGGAACCTGTAGGCAACGAAAGGTCGTAGCACTTATTGAAAAAGAGAGCCTCAAGAGATGTGAGATGGCTAAAGGAAGGAGGGAGATCAAGAATTTCCATTGCGTCCAGCACCAGCAGCTTGAGGGCAGGCATGTGACCAAGGCTATCAGGTAATGCAAAGCTGTCACAGATAGAGACGATGAGCTCTTCCAACCGGCTCAGAGAAGTAAAAGTTTCAGGCAGATGCAAGAGAGAATAGCAATCTTGAATGGTCAGCTTGCGAAGGCACAGCACCAAGTCTCCAATGTCGTCAGGAAGGGTCTCGAGTTCATTGCACTCGGTGATCAGCAGCTCCTCTAGCCTAATGAACGGCGATGCTGATGAAAAGATGGTGCGGAAATCAGGTGAAGAATTAAAGAAATTGAGCGATCTTAAGCTACATGGCAGCATTACGCTTGCACCAGACTGCTGATGGCCTTCGTAAGGGGTGAAGGTGTAGAGACTGTGGAGTCGCGGGAGATGGAAGAGGCTGGATAGGTGCAGAAAATTCCAAGGGAAGGTAACACAGAGACTGGTAAGAGCAGTTAGGTTTGTGAAAAGAGGATTCTCCAGCGTTGCAGCACTATTCACAACAAGGGTGTGCAGCTGTTTTAGCTGGAAAAGAGAGTTGGGTAGGTTTGTTGCTTCATGGAGGCAGAAGAGAGAAAGCTGCTACAGTCTAGGAAACTTTAGGATGAATCGATCCAAGCCATTGGCGGTTACTGTATGCTCCTCCGTCCTACGATAATGCTTAACCGGTAAGACATCACCCTTGCTCCATGGCCGTGCAAAACTCCTTCCCACGTGAAGATTCGTCAGCTTTGGGCATGACGAAGCGAGGTGTGCGAGCAAGGCATCGTTGAGCGACAGAACGCTGTTGTCACTGAGATGCAGATGGGTGAGGTTAGCAAAACACGCGACGGCGGCTGAGAGTGTTAGAAAGTCTAGGCAAGAATGAATGCATTGAAAGAAGGTTGGGTACAAGTAACAAACCCTAGAGGGGTTGTACCCCATATTGGCTACCCCACTACAGCCTACACAAGTATAACATATATAGTTTGACACACCCCCATAGGCAAAGTGGGGGAGAACAAGGGGTCACAAGACCAGTCAAGAGAAGCAAAGCAAGCTCAGGGTGGATCACAACGTCACCACACACTTTGAGCACAAGCAAAGGGCCAGAAGGCCAGTTCACATGCAGAAGTATATATGCAACAAGAACAGCACAGTGATCTCTACCTAGCAAGAGCAAGCATGCAGGAATATATATAGAGATCACAGTACAAGCAGAGTCTACAGCAAGTGTGGAAACGTAGGCACAAGGCCTAACAGGGTACAAAAGCGCTGATGATCACCAGACGAAAGCGCCTTGGTGAATATATCAGCAGTGTTGGCCCGGGTGGCCACGTGAGCAAGGCGAAGCTGACCCCGCTGCTGCAACTCTCGAGCCAGGAAGTAACGCAGAGCGATGTGCTTCGTTCTGTGCTCCAGTCTGTGCTCCTCGCACAAGGCAATGGCGGCCTTGTTGTCGACGTACAGCACTGGAGGAGAACGAGGCCGCTCTCCCAGGTCAGTCAGCAGGTAAGTGAGCCAGCATAACTCCTGTGCAGCCATGGCTGTGGCGTAGAACTTAGCCTCGCAACTGGAGCTGAGAACAGAAGACGAGCGAGTAGAACGCCAAGAAACAGAGCCGGAGCCAAGGCTGAAAGTGTAACCCTGTGACGACCGCTGTGTAGCCTGGTCGTCAACCCAAGAAGCGTCCGAGTGCCCAGTGAGAACCACGTCTCTCCGCCCTCCAAGCACGAGCCCCATGCCCGACGTACTGCACAAGTAGCGCAGTACCCTCTTCGCAGCATCCATGTGCACCTTTCGGTGTCGACCAGGAGCCACGTAACGGGCCAGAAGGCCAAGAGGGTACGCAAGGTCAGGACGAGTGCAGGTCATCAGGTACATGAGGCAGCCCACTAACTCTGGGTAAGGACCACTCGGCTCTACGGACTCGTCTGAAGGTGGAGCTGAGAGCGAGTGACCTGTAGCCAGAGGAGTGGACTGTGGCGAGGACCAGGTGAAGCCGAAGCGCTGAAGGACCTGCTGCACCATGGGTCAGAGTGATGGTGCGGCGTGCTCTGTCCCGGGTGATCTGCAAGCCAAGGTAGCTGCGCAGCTCACCCAGGTCTGTGCACGTGTGTCTCTTCTGCAGCTCCGACTTCACCAGGGCGAGAGCCTCAGTGTCAGCAGTGGCAAACACCAAGTCGTCGACGTACACAAGGATGTAGAACGGCGGCAGCAAAGTGTCGGTGCGTAGAAACAGCGACGGGTCAGCAGTCGAAGGAGCAAACCCAAGAGCCGCAAGTGTCGTCCTCAGTGTGTCGTGCCACTTACGAGGCGCCTGGCGGAGACCGTAGACTGGCCGCCGGAGGCTCCACTGGGTACCAGGCGGGAACGACCCAGTGAAGCCAGGTGGGCGGCGCAGCCAGATCTCCTCGTGCAGGCTGCCCTGTAAGAAGGCTGTGCTGAAGTCCAGTGAGTGAAGCTCGTAGTCACGCTGAGCGGCAATGTGCATCAGCACACGAAGTGTGGTCATCTTCGGGATGGGGGAGAAGGTCTGGAAGAAGTCGACTCCCTCTCGCTGACTGAAGCCTCGAGCAACGTAACGAGCCTTGAAGACAGGCGGAGAACCTGGCGGCCGCTTCACCCTGAAAATCCACATGCCATCAACGATGTTCGCCCCTGGAGGGGGAACCTCATCGACGTAAGTGCCTGTGGACTTCCAGGATGCCATCTCTGCGTCCATGGCTGTCTGCCACTGAGAGGAGTAGGGGCCCGCGATCGCCTCAGCGTAAGAGCGCGGGGTCGGGATGTCTATAGCATCCGGGTCTCCCTCAGGGGCAAGCAGCATGGCCATGAGATGAGGCGCAGCGGCCGCAAGACACTCAAGGTCCTCCTGTCTGTCCTCAAGGACGTCCGTGCCAAGAGCACACTCACCCCCGACGGACGGAGGACAGACAGACTCAGACTCAGCAACTAGACCGGCAGCGTAGTCTAGACGACAGGCAGCAGCAAAGTCGACAAGCTCAGCGACCAAGGCAGACGCAGTAGCAGACTCAAACGACGGGTCAGTGACAACAGTGGCTAACAGACGCGTGACAGTAGGGTGCTCAGCACGAAACCGGTCAGACTCAGGGTCCGCAACGTCAGGCAGAGAGGACGCAGGAGGAGACGGCAGAGGAACAGACTGCGGAGCAGAGAACCATCACCATCACCGGACTACGAGGTGTGTACCGGGGACAGCCGATTGACGCGAACGAGGAACACGACGACCGGAACGACCAGGACGAACAGGCGAGACAGGACGCGACGCAGGCTCACGATGCTCAGCAAGACCACCAGGCTGCTCAGTGTAAGGAGGAGGAGCAGGGAGCGGTGAGCCAGGCAGTAACGGAAGACCAGTAGACGACGGAAGGGTAAGAACCTGACGAAGAACAGAGTCAGGCGGCGGCAGAGACGACGGAGACGGCGGAGCGAAGAACAGTCGTGACGGCGCAGCTGCACCAGCACCGGCAGCTCCAGCAGCTCCAGTGGCTCCAGCACCTCCAGTAGCTCCAGCACCTCCAGCGCCAGCATCACCAGCAGCAGCACCCCCAGAACCAGTACCTCCAGTCCTAGGGTCGCTAGCCTCAGTGTCTCCAGCAGCAGCACCCCCAGAACCGACACCTCCAGTCCTAGGGTCTCCAGCCTCAGTGTCTCCAGCAGCAACACCCCCAGACGCAGCACCTCCAGCCCCAGCAGCTCCAGTACCTCCAGTACGAGCACCTCCGGGACCAGCGACTCCAGCACCTCCTGTAGACACAGCACCACTCCCAGCTCCAGCGACGACAGCAGAAACACCTCCAGCGGCAGAACTCCGAGCTCCAGAAGCGCGACCCTGACGGCGACCGTACCAGTCGTGGAGCTGCTGTAACGTGAGCGGCACACGAAGACGAAGGCGGCTACTCCAAGGAGACCGCGCAACAGCAGACTCAGAACCCTCAGCGCCAGCACCCGCAGCAGCTCTAGAACCTCTAGCGCTAGCACCCGTAGCAGCTCCAGAACCTCCAGCGCCAGCACCCTCAGCAGCTCCAGAACCTCCAGCTCCAGCGCCACCAGCGCCAGCACCTCCAGCAGCTCCAGAACCTCCAGCGCCAGCACCCTCAGCAGCTCTAGAACCTCCAGCTCCAGCGCCTCCAGCAGCAGGGCCCCTAGCTCCAGCAGCGCGACCCTGACGGCCAACGTACCACTCACGCAGCTGCTGTGGGGAGAGAGGGAGTAGACGACGAGAGTGCAGCGGCGAGGCACCAGCGGAGCGACTACGGAGACGGCCGCTCCAGGGAGACTGCTCACCAGACGCCTCAGCGCCCCCAGGTGCAGCACCCCCAGACTCAGTACCCCCAAGCTCAGCACCCCCAGACTCCTCACACTCAGGCTCAGCACCTCCAGGCTCGGCACTCTCAGGCTCCGCACCCCCAGGCTCAGCACCCCCAGGCTCCGCAACCCCAGGCTCAGCACCCCCAGGCTCAGCACCCCCAGAAGTAGTACCCCGAGCAGGACCACCCGCAGCAGGACCTGAGTCACCAGTGACCTCAACCGGCGCAGTCAAGGGAGGAGGGTCAACCTGAGACACACCTGAAGGAGCAGGACCGGGAGCGGGGAGGGGGTCTACCTGGGGAGGACCTGGAGCGAGAAAGAGCGGCAGGGGGGGGAGAAGGGCAGTGCAGTAGGGGAAGAGACGGTAAAAGGGAACCGACTCGTCGAACGTGACGTCCTGAGACGCAAAGACACGGCGCGAGGTGGGGTGGTAAAACTGCCAACCAGGCGCGTCAGGGACAAAGCCAAGGAAGACACAGGGAACAGCGCGGGCGGAGAGCTTGTCCGCGGTGGTATCGCGGACAAAGGCACGAGCACCCCAGACCCGGAAATGCGACGCATCGCCAACCTTCCCCGTCCACAGCAGCGTGGGCGAGGTCTCCGGTAAGGAGACACGGGGCCAGAGGTTGAGCTGATGCGCAGCGTACCTGACCGCAAACGGCCACAGAAAATGGGGGGCAGCCGCATGGATCATGGAGGTACGAGCGACCTCCATGACTAAGCCAATGCAGCGCTCAGCAACCCCATTCTGCTGCGGAGAGGCCGGAAGCGTGAACGTCTGGCGGATGCCGTGCTCCGCACAGAAGGCTGCCAAGAGGTCTGAGGAGAACTCACCACCTTTGTCAGAGTGCAGACGCAGGACGGGAAACTCCGTCCCGAACCGCTCGCGGAGCTGGAGACGGGCAGCGCGGATCCAAGGGATCAAAACATCAGGGACCTCCCCCTTGCGCTGCAAGGGGAAGACCGTGGTGTAACGCGTGTAGTCGTCGACGACCAGCAGGAAGTAC